AAAGCAGCTGCCCAGTACTTTGGCCCGTTGCGTTGGATGCTCAAAGCTCCCAAACGCAGCATCTTCCTTGAGCTTTTCTCCGGGTCTGGCCGATTGAGCAAAGCAATCCGCCACAGATCACATCGAACTTTTCAGGTTGTTGAGATTGACATTGAAACTGACCCTCAGCATGACTTGTCAAAACGTGCTCTCCAGAACTTCCTTGTTTTGTTGATTAAGCTTGACAAGATTGCTGCAGTGTGGATGGGCACCCCATGCACCAGCTGGTCACTTGCCCGACGCAATGATGGTCAGGGGCCTCCCCCACTAAGGTCAGATGAACAGCTTTGGGGTCTCAGCGGTTTGTCACTCAAAGATAAAGAAAGGGTCCGTCTTGGTAACAATCTGGCAAGATTCTCTTTTCGGATTTTTAGGCTTTGTCATCAGCTGTGCATTCCCGCTGCCATTGAAAATCCTTCAGCCAGTAGGTTGTGGTTGATTCGCCCTGCGCAACAAATACAATCGTATCCTGATGTTCACCTGCATGTCACCGATTATTGTCAAGATGGCACACCATGGCGCAAACGCACCAAGGTGCTCACTTGCCACATCGACTTCAGTTTGGTGCCTCGCCTGTGTACAAGTCATAAAGGGATTTGCAGCCACACCAACAAACCCCATGTGCAGCTATGCGGTCAACAGTATGGTCAGTTCCTTACCCTACTTGCCCAGCCTTACCCCAAAAAGTTGTGCAATCGTATTGCTACTGTTTTCCATAGTGCCATGTTGGAAAGTTTGTCTCGGCCCATGATGAAACTGCTTGGTTTCTAATGGTGCCAGAAACTGCAATGGGATTCATGTTCGCAACTGTGTCCATTGACTTCTCGGCGTTCGGGCAATCATTTTTGAACCTGTGATGCCCGTGCGTCTTGCTGGTGCGCACATTAGACATAGATCCGTGCCTGGCCATTGGAAAAGCGGGTCGGCGCCATAATTCCCTGCTTCGCTGAGGTTGGCAAAGACCAGATTGGAAATGGCCGTGGCATCCATGCTCGAGTGTTCCCCCCCAAATAAGCTTCGCATCCCATCCCTGAATCCTTTTAATCTCTCTCTGTGGCGTTCGGGCAATCATTTTTGAATCTGTGATGCCCGTGCGTCTTGCTGGTGCGCACATTAGACATAGATCCGTGCCTGGCCATTGGAAAAGCGGGTCGGCGCCATATTTATTTCCCTATTTATGTCCCTATTTATTTCCCTATTTATTTCCCTATTTATTTCCCTATTTATTTCCCTATTTATTTCCCTGTTTATTTCCATATTTATTTCCCTATTTATGTTCCTATTTATTTCCCTATTTATTTCCCTATTTATTCCCTATTTATTCACCTATTTATTTCCCTATTTATTTCCCTATTTATTTCCCTATTTATTTCCCTATTTATTTCCCTATTTATTTCCCTATTTATTTCCCTATTTAATTTATTTCCATATTTATTTCCTATTTATTTCCATATTTATTTCCCTATTTATTTCCCTATTTGTTTCCCTATTTATTTACCTATTTATTTCCCTATTTATTCCCCTATTTATTCCCCTATTTATTACCCTATTTATTTCCCTATTTATTTCCCTATTTATTTCCCTATTTATTTCCCTATTTATTTCCCTATTTATTTCCCTATTTATTTCCTTATTTATTTCCATATTTATTTCCCTATTTATTTACCTATTTATTTACCTATTTATTTACCTTCAATTGCATCTATTGGGAGCCTTGAACACAAGACACGCCTGTATTGTCTACGCTGCGCGTTCATATCCATATTCACATCCATTCATATTCATGTCACGAAAGCTAACCTCAACTAGTCGGAGTTACTCTTGCAAGGAATTGGATGGCAGGTCGGTTTCACGCGCAGTTTTCAAGTCACGGATCACTGGTTTATTTGTGGTTGAAGTCACGTGTTCAATTGGTTTTGAGTCACTGGTTGGTTTTGAGCCAATCTTGGCATGAGTTGGCGTACGGTCAGATGTTTTGGTCACATGTTTCAAATGGATTCGTGTGGCTGATCAGCCACTAGATCAGAGTGATTTTACAGTTGCTTTGAGTCGCTAAAGGTTCAAGGTTTGGAATTGAAGCCTCGGACGGGTTGATTCAAAATGCAAGAATTCCATTGGAATCCAGGCGAAACATGTGAAGATTCAGAAGTTGGGACTATCAATTTGGAGCCAACAATTTCCAATTGAAATTCCACAGTTGATGTAAGTGAGGCTTTGGTTCACCAAGAATATCACAATGAAATCGGTAGAATAAAACCTGGTCATTTGAAAAGCCCAAAATTTCTCCCAACCGGAGCTACTACCAGCATTTCTAGGACACATGTCACTTCAGCGTTCGGCAGCTCATGTTTTTTCCGTTGCGTCCTCCTTTTACAATGAGTGCCTGAAGGCGCAAAATGCTACAGTCGCACAACTGGTTGAAACATTTTTGGAAAATTCGGATTCTGAGCTGGACATGAAAACGGTTATGTCCAAAGATACTGAAACATATGCTCAGCTGCTTGGAAAATTGCAATATGTAAAGCGGAAGAGACGCGAAGCAGAGCAAAGATTGACAGAGAGACTTTCAAGCCGCGACAGGGGTTGAGGATAACGGCGTTGTGGTGGATTCGGGTGGGCCTAGCAGATCCTGGTATTGTGGCCGAAAGTTTTAGTTCATTTATTCGTGACTTTCCACCAGAGGAGCATCCCACGATGTCAGCACAAATGAGCCGGACTAGCGTGACAAGGGCTCGTGACTGCTGTGTTGAACTTTTGAAATATTTCAACAATGAAAATTTGAAACTCATGGCGAACATGTCTGCAAAGGTTAACAGAGCTGGCGTCGCACACACAGAATCCTTTGTCCTCGTCCAGGTGCATGATGAGTGCATTATGCGAGTGCGTTCTTTTTTGCCAGATCAAGAGCTTCGCGGAGCTAGATCAAGATATACAAGCGTGCAAAACCAAGTAGTTACTTTGCATACGGCGTCACAAGTTTTGGATTGCGCCGTCGAGCTCTTCGGTTTGGCACGAAAGAATGCCGCGACTATTGCTCAGTGTCTTTTGACCACAGTAATTGATATTCTTCGGCATCTTTTGGGAGGCCTGGAGCAGCACGGCGGACCTATGCAGAAGTTAAGGCTTGTTCATATTCTAGTAGCTGACGGAGCACCCGTCAATGAGGCGGCTGCTAAGAGAGTGTTCAAAGCCATGCAAAAGTACCAACATGGTAAAATCAGCTACGCATTGCTCTCTTTCGAGTGCTGTGCTCACCAAGCAAACTTATGCGTAGCCAAGGCCATTTGCCAGGAGAGTTGCCGCAATCCGTCAGACAATCCTTTAGTTGGTTGTTGCATTCGTTTGTTTCGGTACGTTATAGATCAATACCATGGAGAATTCCGGCGAAATTTGCTGAAATACCTGACTGACAATTTGACTATTTTGACGAAGGCGGAAGCTGCGGAACGAGCAGCTGCTTCTTCAGAAACATCTACGCTTGTGCAATTATATGGTACTGGTGTTATTTCTCCGGATATGCAAGATGTTCTCAATGTGTGTGTTTCAAAGCTGGAACATGTCTGTGAAGACAACGAAACGCCGGAACACGGCTTTCAACGTACTTTCGATGTACTTTGCAAACGTATTTTGGTGGTAGAAGAGCGGCCTGTTGTCACACGGTTTTTTCTGTTTACATCTTGTGTCAACACCTTGCTAGCAATGGACCTCATGAAGCTATTGCCAGATATATGGATGCAGGTGCATGGTGTCAGACCACAGGAGGACAATGCCAAGAGACTGCATCGGATCCGTTGTTTTTTCCTTTCCCCCTCCACGCCGGCGAACTTGAGGCGAGCTGTCCTGTGCCTTCGCTTAACAAGCCACGTTGTGCACATTTGCTCCCAAAAGAACAAGCCTGGGAGCAAGCCATTATTGATTCGCCTGGCCCAGGGCGAAATCCAGAAGAAATGCTCGGAAGATTTAATGGCCATTTTGCCTTTGTTACATTTGGACAGCAAAATTTCTATTACTTCTACATTTGTTGCTTTAATGGTCACAGCTGCTGAAATCTTGCTTCGGTTTCAAATTTTTGATTTGTTTCCTGCGCGGCTATGGACATTATCGAAAAAGTACAACCCGCTGTCTTTTCGGGCAGCAATTGTGGATTTCGTTTCCCTGCCGGACACTTGTCTAGATGTGGGGTACAGTGCCGCTCTGCAGGCAGAAGCTTTGGAACAAGGTGCATTGGAGCAACAAGTTCGGTTTCTTTTGAGTCCCGCAGTGCAATCAGAACTGGACCGCATCCTGGAAACGGCTTTGGTGAACAACTTGGATGTAGAAAGAAAACATTGGCAAGATAAACGTCCAGAAAACAGTTCCGGTAAGGTCGCCTCTCTGAGTCGTTGTTCGCGTAATTCCTTGATCCGGAAATATCGCCTACAAAGATCTGAAGTGCGATTGGAGCAGTTGAAAGTGAAGAAACGCTTTGCCAAGGATCGGTTTGCCAATGCCAGGTCTATTGCGGTTGCCAGACATCCAGAATGGCTCCCTCGCCCACGTGGAATCCTGCATTGGCAGCAAGGAGTCGCAAAACAGCAAGCGAAAACAATTGTGCACCAGGGGAACTCTGAGGCGCTGCAACAGTATTTACAGGAGAACAAAGCGTCCTTGCAAGAAGAGGCTGCTCAACGACGTCAAGCGGCTAAACGAGGCCTTACCTCCTTGGAGGCATCGCGTTTGCCAATGTCAAATGCTGAATGGTTGCGCTGGGTGGAAGCTAATGAAGCATATTTTCATGAAATTTTGCGTTCTGCCACTGAGACTAGGAGAGAGCTATCCCGGCGACTGGTTTGTGAGAATGCTACTTGAATTTACTTGGATCCTATTTTTGTTTGTGACCGGTTTTGTGGCATCGTAGTCCCTTCCCTGCTTTGGTGCTTTGCTTGTGATTGCAACATAATTTTCAGATTCATCAGGACACCATGCCGGCAGTCTCGCGACTGGCTGCCACAAACACCTTTGGAAATCGTACAGTTGCATGGCGCAGAGCACTGCTACAATCTCATTTTCGTTTTCATTGTCTCCAGCTTGGCACTTCGGACGCAGACAAAATTGTATTCTTTACTGCCTGCATGTATCGATGCCCTTGGGGTGTCTTGTTGGAGGGATGTTCTGGGCGTCGGTTTACTTGGCACATTACCAAACCTTTATCGGAAGCTTTGGTGCCTATAGAGAATCTTGTAACTGCTTTGGGTTTCTCCATTGATCAAGAACACGTCAAGTTGTTTGCGTTGGAAATGACCGTTGAGAACGTGTCACAGACCGAAGCAACTCTGTTTGTTTCTTCTGCAATAGAAGTGAATATCACCGCGTGTGCCGGTGAGTGTGCAAAAGAATCAGATGAAGAAGGTGAAATTTCAGTAGACAAGCAAGATTCCGATTTAGAATCCTGGGCTTTGTCCGGACACGAATCCTGTTCAGAAGATGCAGTGGAAAGCGAAGCGGTCAGTTCCTCTTCCAGTGATGACGATGCTGCAGAGGTGCCGGACCGTGCGAATCTGGAGCGAATTGCCCCTGCAGCGCGAGCTGCGACAGGTGCCTTTGTTGTTTCGCACAACCCTTACTTTAGTGTCAGTAACTATGCTGCTTCTACAGCTCAGCATGCTGCGAAATCACTGAGGGCGCGGGTAGCGGAGAAATGGGCTACGGACACTTATCTTGGAACTGCTAGCAAAAGCAAAACCATACAAATTGGCGAATATGATGCAGATCCCCAAAATCCTCGCAATTCAGAAATGGTGCTTCAGGCATGGATGTTATGGCGGGTGCAATTTCATTCTTTTTTAGATGGAAATTTGAGCCGACGCCGCTGGTTTGAGACAGAGCTCCGAGCGCTACAGCGCAAAGTGGGTCATGGCACCGGAAATGTCAAGGCAGATAAGTTGATCAAACAGTGGCTGCCAGCTGCATTCGTAGCTTGAGAATGCTTGAGATGATTGTCTTGTTCGGGAAAAGAGCTGCCGCAGATAGCAATGTTAATCTACGCTAAGCGACGTTAATATACGTTAATCTGACGCTAATACACAGTAATAGACGTTACTGTTGCTATTTTCTGGTTTTAGGGTCAATTAACGTTACATTAGCGTGTATTAGCGTATATTAACGTCGCATAACGTCCTAAGATTGACAATCGCACTTGGCTTGTGAGGGCCATCGCAACTTATTTTCTCCCGCATAGAAGCCTGAGCATGTCCTTGTGCAGGTCTACTGTTTGCAAGACCAGGTTACATACTCAAACTAATTTTGAGAAATATTTGGAAAGCTGATCGAAGCGAACTGTTTGTCGAGCCGTCTTTGCCTGTTTTCCAGCAACTTCCTTGCTTGCGCAGGGTTTTGGCAAAGCTGCAGAAAACAAATCTTAGAATAGGTCCACTGTGGGTCTGCTTGATCCGCAGCATGGCTCACCGATTCTCCGAGGCGGAGATTCAGGCAGCCCTGAAAGATGTGACTCCGGAAGGAGCGGAAAGGTCTCGGGCGGTGAGATCCCTTACAGACTTTAAGAAGAATGATCCAACAATCGACGTCACAGAGAACAACATTCGCTTGTACCTGGCCTTGAAGAAACTGAGCCCATCCGGTCGGGTGTCTCTCGCACAGATGAAATCTCAGAAGACCATGGCTGTGGCCAGCACCATGATTCGAAGCAGGTTTGGTTGGTTCCTCGTCAGAACTTCCCAACCATTCCGCCTGAATTTGTGAAATTTTCTGTGCCTCCAGAGTCACTCACCAGTCTACCCATTGACATCGACCCGCAGACCATTTGGGCCTTTGATCAAGCGGTTCCGCGGGAGAAGCTGGGTCGAGGTGTCTTTGAACTGGAATCATCCTTTGGAAACATGAGCAAGGTCAAACATGGGCTCTTGGAAGGTGCAGGGTCAATGCCCGCGTCATCCCAAGCCTTGCCAGACAAAGACATGACCCAGGGAAAGGATGAAGCAGATTCTCAGGGCCCTCCTGGGCCTCCTGCAAAAAAGCCCCGTGTTCTGCAAGAGCATGTGTCGGAGACAGAGGAGGAAAGTTTCGAGCGCATTGCTAAAGCAACCAAAGAGGCGGGTGGCTGTGCTTGTTTCGGTGAACGTTGAAAGCTCGTTGTGGTTTGCAATTTTCACATGGTCTGGAGGTGAGTATATAAGACATAAGATACTTCCATCTGGAACAACGCAACGTTGTCCTTTATTTTTTGTTTCTGGCCTGCAGGCCTTTGATGCTGGGAGATTTTGTTCCAAAGACCGCACCTCTCCAGAATTTGCAGAGTTTTGGCTACGTCATTTCCGTACCTACTGTGAGAAGTTCATGGTCAAGTGCAATGAAGGACCGCCCAGCTTTCTCAGAAGCTATGTGGCCTTCACCGTGAAGAGTCTCCTCGGCACTGAGACCTTAGAGGATTTGGCAATTTTCGTCCAGCACTTGGAGTCTTTGCAGAAAATCAATGAGAATCTTGTGCCTCCTTTGGCTGCCGCTGTCATCCAGCTAGGAAAATGCCGTGTGGAAGATGACCAAGACGTTGTTGTGAGTGGCTTAACCATGAGCCAGCAGCACACACTGTTCAAGTCCAAATTGTACAACCAGTTTACCTCCGAGAGATTGTCGCACAGGTTGAAAGCAGTTGCTGCAGACCATGGTACCGAGCCTGAAGCTCGCCTGGTTGTGGTTCGAGATTTGCTGAAGCATACTTTGAGTGAAGCTCAAAAAAAATCACTCGAATTTGCTGTCACCATGCTTTCCCCCATCGACGACGCCGAGAAGTTGACCTTCTTGCTGGGGTCGCAGGAGAATTTTGGATTCTTGCGAAATTGGTTTGGGTCCTCAGATCCAAGGTTGCTGCTGGAGCACTTTTTTGGAGCGAAGCTGCCAGAGCTCGACATGAAGACTTTTCTCCAAGCCGCATCCCTGGCAACGAGTGCCATCGATAGCATCCCCAACACACAGGTGAAAGGTTTGCTGAAGGATTGGCTGAAGCTCAAGGACTGGCGGGCTGCGGTCAGTCCACAACCGTTTTTTCTGTCCTGTGAAGCCAAGCGGTAGCTTTCTAAGGGCTTTTGACATTTTCCGAATTTGTGTGTGTACAAGCAGAGCTGCAAACCATGTCTTCAGGATGTGGCGCCCGTGGTGGCAGAAGCGATTTTCTTGGAGCTCGTGAAGTACAAGTTTGGTTTATCGCACATCTCGGAGGAAATTAACTTAGCGGACTTGACAGAAGGTCAGCAAAGAGGCCGCATGGTTGGAATGGCTTCCGTGCGGAGGGTTCGCGTTCTAGCTTGTTTTTGTTTTGGTTTTATTGTTGCTGTTGCTGTTGCGGTTGCTGTTACTGTTGCTGTTACTGTTGTTGTTACTGTTGTTGTTGTTGTTGTTGCTGCTGCTGGGGTGCGTGAACTTATTCCACGTCCGGGGTTGGGGTGGTGTCCCAACTCTCGGGTGCGTGCGAAGGGTTCACGTCCTAGCTGGTTTTTGTTTTGTTTTTATTGTTGCTGTTGCTTTTGCTGTTACTGTTGTTGTTGCCGTTTTTGTTCTTGTTGTTGTTGTTGTTGTTGCTAGGGTGCGTGGACTTATTCCACGTCCGGGGTTGGGGTGGTGTCCTAACTCTCGGGTGCGTGCGAAGGGTTCACGTCCTAGCTTGTTCTTGTTTTGTGTTTATTGTTGCTGCTGCCGTTGTTGTTGTTGTTGTTGGTGGTGGTGGTGGTGGTGGTGGTGGTGGTGTTGGTTGTTGTTGTTGGTGGTGATGGTAGCTGTTGTGGTTGTTGTTGTTGCTGTTGTTGTTGTCGTCTTTTATTATTATTGTTTTTGTTTTTGCCGTTGTTGTTGTAGGTGGTATTGTAATAGGTAATTATTTGCGAATGCATGCATGACCCAAAATATATGTGTTTTTCTTTACCTCAAGATATTTAAATATCAATTTATATATTGTAGCTGGGCCAATATCCACACTATGGTTTTGATATTTTTTTTTTTGATGTGCCCTATCTGCATTCCACGGGAGGCTGTTTGAAAGTCATTGCTGCCTCCGTTCGCAAAGTGCCATCTGAGAAGCAAGCGGATTTTCCCATCCTGACAGCCCTGCTTGCTAAATCCAATGTTTTGCTGCCTCCTCCGGACAGCCAAAAAAAACAATGAAATCGCAGAGAAAGACACTCAAAAGGATAAGAAAACAGAGATCGCTGAGACACAAAACGCAGCTGGCGAAAAGCCAGATCAGAAGCCCGCTGTTCCAGATTTTCAGATCGACCAAGTGGTTGTGATTTCAGCAAACAAACACAAGGAAAAATACGACCAACGTGAGGGAAGAATCGTGAAAGTTCTGAGTTCCAAACTCCGTGTTGAAATCCTAAGTGGCCCTGCTCAGGGCGAAGAAAAGGATGTCCAGAAAAGCAGTGTTACGCTTAAAGAAGCGGTTCCCAAAAAGAAAGATTCCGAAGCAGAGATTCCCAAAGGGAACGATGCGAAAGCTGAGATTGCCAAGAGCAATAAATTGGCGGAAGATTTGTTTGGCCTAGGCGATGACTAGATGTGGCAGCTGCGCTGGAAAAACAATATCGAAAAGCCAATTGCATTGCATTGCGCATCATGGATTCATATCCATACAAAGATACATACTTAATTTCTATATATATCTGTATATACATATATTAATATTATAGAATATTTATTATTCACTGATTTGGTCAATTGGGGGGAGCGAACCGCTCCGTGCGTAGCAACTTCAAAGCACACCCCCATTTGATTAAATCGGTTTAGGAAACCCCCCAGCGGATTAGATTGCTTGGTTGCTGGATATTATATAAGGGTTGGTTGAACCGGGAACCTCCCTATCTAATCCGCGACAATATTTTTGGGGTTATGATAATTTTTGGGATTGTAATGACCCCCCAAAGGATGGATTGCCCAATTCAAGGAATGTTGATGCCTGAATTGCCCTATCCATCCAAAACCACCAAAGGGGATAATGACTGGAATAAAATCTACGAAACGCTGACATAAAATCTATGAAACACAACTGAGCTTTGCCAAACCCAAAATACTTCAGGGTGGATTCTCTACAAAATACAAGTCTGAACATACCCCACAAAGCCTGTTTTGGGCACTTTCAAGCCTTGGAAGGGGCAACTGTTTTCCAATTTATTTTGTAGACAGCCCTTATTTGGTGGTTTTTAATGATCTTTGTTTTGTATTCTGTAGTGGGCAGCCATTTTGGGTTCCCTAGACTTGTATTTTGTAGTGCATTTGGAGCCACTCTCCTGGATGGATTTGTATTCTGTAGACCCCTTTTCTCTACAAAATCACCTGTCAGCACCTTCTCCCGAAATGAACAAGGGAATAGAATATTTAATTTAACATTTGACCAAGAAATAATATAATTTATTTACCTTAATATACGCTAATAAACGCTAATATACGCTAATACCCCTAATGCTACTTGACAGAAGGCTCCCATAACTTGCAACCAAATTTACCTATTTATTTATTTCCCTATTTATTTCCCTATTTATTCCCCTATTTATTTCCCTATTTATTTCCCTATTTATGTCCCTATTTATTTCCCTATTTATTTCCCTATTTATTTCCCTATTTATTTCCCTATTTATTTCCGTATTTATTTTCCTATTTATTTCCCTATGTATTTCCCTATGTATTTCCCTATTTATTTCCCTATGTATTTCCCTATTTATTTCCCTATTTATTTCCCTATTTATTTCCCTATTTATTTCCCTATTTATTTCCCTATTTATTTCCCTATTTATTCCCGTATTTATTTCCCTATTTATTCCCGTATTTATTTCCCTATTTATTTCCCTATTTATTTCCCTATTTATTTCCCTATTTATTTCACTATTTATTTCACTATATATTTCACTATTTATTTCCCTATTTATTTCCCTATTTATTTCCCTATTTATTTCCCTATTTATTTCACTATTTATTTCACTATTTATTTCCCTATTTATTTCCCTATTTATTTCCCTATTTATTTCCCTATTTATTTCCCTATTTATTTCCGTATTTATTTTCCTATTTATTTCCCTATTTATTTCCCGAATTATTTCCCTATTATTTCACTATTTATTTCCCCATTTATTTCCCTATTTATTTCCCTATTTATTTCCCTATTTATTTCCCTATTTATTTTCCTATTTATGTCCCTATTTATGTCCCTATTTATTTCACTATTTGATGACCGATGGTAGTCACTATTAGGGGCCCGAGTATTTACCTGAGTTATGTACCGGATGTATTGTAAATATTATTTTGTCCCAGGATTTACAAAGGTTATTTAAATAGGGAGGGAAATATGGATGTCCCTAATGTATTTACATATTAGTCCAGATATATGTACACTATTTAGTTCACTATGTATGCACGATGATTGCCCGGATTATTTAACTATTGAGTGCCCTAGGTATGGCCCTATTTATTTCCCTATTTATGTCCCTATTTATTTCCCTATTTATTTCCCTATTTATTTCCCTATTTATTTCCCTATTTATTTCCCTGTTTATTTCCATATTTATTTCCCTATTTATTCCCTATTTATTTCCCTATTTATTTCCCTATTTATTCCCTATTTATTTCCCTATTTATTTCCCTATTTATTTCCCTATTTATTTCCCTATTTATTTCCGTATTTATTTCCCCATTTATTTTCCTATGATTTCCATAGTCATTCCTGTCGCTGCTATTTCATGTGTTTGACCCTGTTCCCCAAAACACGTCTTTATCTATCCACTGTTTTGGGGTCTACGGTGGTGTAATTTAAAGATTCAGTGCTTAAGGTCGACTTGGTTCGGCGGATTCATATGATTCATTTGTTGCCACTTTGATGGGACCATACACTAATTTCACCGGCTGCACATGTCGGAGTCATGCACATATATTGCATTGTCAATGGTAGGCTTCCATCGGTGAAGAGGGTGCCCCGCAGCCTCGCCTAAACGGGGTTGCAACTTCCTCATTTCCTATTCATACCCGATAAATAAGTCTCATGAATCAAGAAAGAAATCACCACTTATATGTGGGAAGGGCCCCTTATTGCATCTTATTGCAGAATTACATTCAGAATCATTCAATAAGATGAATTGTTGCAACCTATGTACCTTATCATGCCACATTATTAGACGATATTAGACGATACATTTGCATAGCTCAGCTATGCAGGTCCTGGCCAAGCATCCCGAAGAGGTGAACGAGGCACCGGAGCTGCGGAGCCATGAGCTCACGGGAATCATGACCGAGTCATTGGGTCATTGGGTCAAGATATTTAGCGCAACCTTCGGTGGTTTTGGATATATATGGACCATATATATATACAGAGAGAGGTAATAAAGATATAGAAAAATCATGGTGAATCATATGTAGCATAGTGGATATAGGCAACCACACTAGGGATACCGACAGCAATGTTCAGTTTTGCCCAGGGTTAATCTATTCCTTATTTGGACTAGGTTACGTGGAAGGATCGTTGCTGGTTCGCATAGGGATCATCATCTATGATAGGGCCATCAGATCATTCATGACAGGATTCCCATCTTCCTGTGTAGGAGCCCAAAAAGGAAGGACCATAGGAGCCTTTGAGATGTCTCATAGGACGTTCACCAGCAGATTCTTGAACGGAATTGGTTTGAGGGGGACATTTACAGGAAAGAACAATGGCTTTGATTGGGATGGTCAAATCCGGGGGTTTCCTGTCATTGTTCCCTTGGACCCTCTGTGAACCTCTATAAACTCGGAGTTTTTTGGTTCATTCTTGGGTTTGCCACATTCGAATCAATCCAGTGCTTCGGACTGCACCCCAGGCAGAACTGCGACAAGCCAAGATCAGCAAGAAGGTCAATGACCTGCGCAGACAGATCTCATACCAGAGACAGGCGAAGTGGCGGAAAAACCACTGAGGTGACGACCCATGATTCCCAAGGGTCCAAAGTAGGGTATGCCAGTTACTTTCCAGTAGGCAAGCTGCAAGCTATGTATATTGTGTACATACACATCAATATATAACCCATATATAATATATATATATATACACATGTATAATATATATATATATATGATTATATATCTACATATATAAAATACATGTATGTATTGTATATCTATACCTTCAGCTATGTATCTATCTTTTTGTACACAAATACATGTTTATTTACAAGTTGAGTCCGATGATCATCCCAGGCAGGAACCAGCTTTGGTAGAGTTTGGAAGTCGAATCCAAGTTGATTAGCTCGAAGCCCTTGGAATTCCTTCTCCATATATATATATATATATAATATATATATATATAGTGTTCAACTCTTGTTTCAAAGAACATCTGCAGATCTGTATATGTATTTCATAGTGAAATCCATATTTCCGTTCAATTTCCCCTTAAACCCATGGATTCAAAAAATTGGAAGTTCTATGTCGCGAAGAACTGTGTTTGCTTCCCTCGTTAGCTTGAGAAAAGGTGCAACATGTAGTCTCCAGGGTGGAAGGTGTGAAGTTGAAGCGCAGGATACAATTGATGGACAGATATGGTGCAATGTGACGGACCCAATAATACACCTCCATTTTGGCCAATAATGCAGCTCTATTTCGGATGGTTTCTATCATCCATTTCTGGTGAAATTGGTGGTTTATTAGTCGGTTTAGCACATGATAATGGGATGTTCCACCATTTTGTGGCAATTCAATGGGGATATAAGTATTGGGATAGAACCAACAATAAGATATGGCTCCAGAAATGGTGGTTATACAGTAATTTATGGCAATTTTGTTTGGAAACACGATGTAATGCTTTGAGTCATTGGCAGGGTAGACCATCTGCATCCAGATTCCCTGAGTCGGCAGGGATATCTCCCTGTTCTCCTGTTGGCCGGTAATATGGGTCAAGGTGTTCGTACCTTAGACTCAGTTGCAAAGGATTGTCATCCTTGTTCACCATTCTGTAATGGCACGTTCCTTAGGTACGCTTCAAAGTTGCAGAAACCCAACCGATCGGTCAAGTTGTTTGATCCCCGAAATTGTATGGTTTCGATATCCCAAAATGCTATGATTTTGGATGTCCTGGGAACAACCGTTCAAAAAAAGGTACCTACCCTGCCTTGACCCAAATGATGTCCCTCAACCCGGAAGGAAAGGCTCATGTTCTCGTGGCGCTCTCGGCAAGCAACCGAGTATCAGGCGGGAGACCGGGGTATCTCAGGACTACTTGGATCATTCAAGGGTTCGTAGCCACGCTTAGAAAGCACCCATTTTTTAGAATGGACATGGAGGTTTCCTAAGTCCTTGGGGTACCCCTAAATCACTCATTTACTAGGATTTTCCATAGGATTTTCCATTATAAAACATCCATTTTTGGGGTACCCCCATTTATGCATGGAAACCATCACATCAATCCGTGGTCAATTTGTTCCTGGAATTTACAGATGCTTCGACATCGTTGTGCCTGTACAGGCGCCGGATCCATTCTTTGGGCGAGAGGTCTTAGTCCAACCATCCTGCTTACATTCAAGCGAGTTTATCTACGTGAGCAGCAACTGGCGTATTCGAGGAGGAAAAGATCCGAACGGGTAATTTGCTCGCAAGGGCATCGGTTCGTCTCAACAATGGGGGATGCTCCCCAAAATGGAAAGAATATACTGGGAAGATGAGGATAAACCATGGGATTTGGGGTACCCTGAAAATCAGTTGGTTGATATATATATATATATGCATGCAGAATTGACATATGGTTAAATCAATCAAAACTACGAACATCCACCTGCTTTGTTCGTTTCTGTTCTATGCCACTGACCCTTCTGGGCATTGTTCAACTGCAAAGATTTCGGCGTCCCAAGCTTCATAGGCCAAATTGCATGTTGAAGCACGAGTTGTGGAACATCTCCATCTGTCAAAATCTGTAAGAGGACCAACTCCCGGTGTGGATAGAGGATGGTGCCAGAAGTATCTTTCAATGGACTAGGGTCAGGGAAGAAACTACGTAGATGTTTACCGTCAAACCTAGTTCTGATAAGGTTTGTCGTATATTTATGTATATTTTCCATTCAGTTTATTTAATTGCCTTCGGCAAGCCCGCCGGCCATAGAGAGGTGGCCCCAAGGGAGATTGATGTGCATTCTAGGTGGAAGCCCGCGAGAGAGCAGAAGAGAAAAGAAGGAGAGAAGAATAAGAATAAGAATAAGAAGAATAAGAAAAATAAGAAGAATAAGAAGAATAAGAAAGGAAGACGAAGACAAAGCCGTAAAACGGAAGCGGCTTGTGTAGCAAGGTTTGCTGTAACATGCTGTAACACAACCTACTGACCGTATACCAAATTAGCACCGCCCCAGCAAAGTAGCGCCAGGTACTATGTATGAGCCTCTGTCTTGACAGCAGACCGCTGCATGGAAGGAGACAGAGGAGAGAGATTGCCCCAAAAGAGGTTGACGTGCACGCTAAGTGGAAGCCTGAGAGAAGAAGAGACAAAGACAGAGCCGTAGATCAGAAGCAGCTTGAGTTGCAAGTGCATGCTTGAACCACCAATGGAATCCATACCAAATGAGTACTAGTCGATCAGTACCGTGTGCATCCTGTGACGAGTAGCTGTAGACGACGGTAATGCTGTAGGCAATGTCATTAGCTACCGGCACTGCCAGTGTAGTACTTGGGGAAGAAGGGAAGAAGGGGTAGAGGAGTAGAGGAGTCGGAGTCGGAGTCGGAGTAGGCGTCGGAGTAGGCGTAGGAGTAGGAGTAGGAGTGGTAGTAGCAGTGGTAGTAGTAGAAGTAGTACAACTACGACTACGACTACTACTACTACTACCACTACTACCACTACTACAACTACTACAGCTACTACAACTACTACAACTACTACAACTACTGCAACTGCAACTACTGCAACTACTACAACTACTACAACTACTACAACTACTACACCTGCTACAACTACTACAACTACTACTGCTACTACCACTACTACAACTACTACAACTACTACAACTACTACAACTACTACAACTACTACAACTACTACAACTACTACAACTACTACAACTACTACAACTACTACCAACTACTACCAACTACTACCACCAACTACCTACCACCTACTACCTACTACCTACTACCTCCTACCTACTACCTACTAACTACTAGCTACTAGCTACTAACCACTGACTACTGACTACTGACTACTGACTACTGACTACTGACTACTGACTACTGACTACTGACTACTGACTACTACTACTACTACTACTACTCCTACTCCTACTCCTACTCCTACTCCTACTCCTACGCCTACTCCTACTACTACTACTACTACTACTCCTACTCCTACTACTACTCCCACTCCCACTCCTACTCCTACTCCTACGCCTACTCCTACTCCTACTCCTACTCCTACTCCTACTACTACTACTACTGCTACTACTACTTCTACTTCTACTTCTACTTCTACTTCTACTTCTACTTCTACTTCTACTACTTCTTCTACTTCTTCTACTACTTCTACTACTTCTACTACTTCTACTACTTCTACTAGTACTACTAGTACTACTAGTACTACTAGTACTACTAGTACTACTAGTACTACTAGTACTACTAGTACTACTAGTACTACTAGTACTACTAGTACTACTAGTACTACTAGTACTACTAGTACTACTAGTACTACTAGTACTACTAGTACTACTAGTACTACTAGTACTACTAGTACAGCTAGTACTACTAGTACTACTAGTACTACTAGTACTACTAGTACTACTAGTACTACTAGTACTACTAGTACTACTAGTACTACTAGTACTAGTACTAGTACTACTAGTACTACTAGTACTACTAGTACTACTAGTACTACTAGTACTAGTACTAGTACTAGTACTAGTACTACTATTACTACTACTAGTACTACTAGTACTAGTACTAGTACTACTAGTACTAGTACTAGTACTACTAGTACTAGTACTAGTACTAGTACTAGTACTACTACTACTACTCTATTACTACTACCACCACTAGTACCTACTACTACTGCTACTACTACTCCTCCTCCTACTCCTACTCCTACTCTTACTACCTACTACCTAGTACCTACCACCTACCACCTACAACCTACTACTATTAACTACTATTAACTACTATTAACTACTATTAACTACTATTAACTACTATTAACTACTATTAACTACTATTAACTACTATTAACTACTATTAACTACTATTAACTACTATTAACTA